CATCGGTACGAGCAACTATAATAGTCTCAACACCGAGAACGTCGGTCATCAACCGAGCGGCCACGAGACGGTCAATGTGTTCTCTAGTAGAGACGAGCACTTTGCCGCCCATATGACCGCACTTCTTGGTGCCAGGCTTCTGGTCCTCGAGATGGACACCAGCTGCACCACGCTCCACCATCATCTTCATAAGCTTCATCACTGCAGTCAAACCACCGTGACCAGTATCACCATCAGCAATGATGGGGGCGAAGTGATCAACAGCCGGAGTAGCCTGGCGTTCGGCCTCAGTCATACCAAACCTCTCCTGATGCTGCTTCTGGTCGTGGAACACTTGAGCACGGAAAAGTTGGTCAACCTTGTTCGGGACGGTGTTATAGGGATAGTCGGCGAAGTCAGGGCCGGGCTCGTTAGAAGTGGAGGCCGTTGAGGAGCTTTGCCAGCCTGAGACATAGATGGTCTTGAGGTACTTGGCCATCTGAGTCACTTGAACAGGATCCAGGGCGCCGAAGGTAGGAAGGAAACCACCAGTCCGTTGAGCTTCCTTGAAGGACGTCCACAGCTTCTTGCTCATAGCATCAGCAGGGTACTTGGTGCGGCCGGCCTTCTGACCACGAAGACGAGCAACATCCTCCGCCGAGTACAAGCGGCGCTTGCCGGTCCAACGTTCGGATTGCCACCACTGCTTGATCTCAGCCACGTCAGAGGCGAACTCAGCAGACTCGACTGATGTAGGGATACGAGACATGATTCCGGAAGGGTTAAAAGTCCCTGAGTTAGGTGAAGAAGTGACAACGAATCACACGCAGTACACACGGCAGAATCTTGCGCTCGCCCTGATCGATAGCCCACTTCGGCACGCGAACACGTGTCTCAACTGGGATTTGAACCTCGGACCTTAGTTTATACAGGCGAGAGGTAGGGCAACGCCGCGTAGTAGCAGCAATCGTGCGGCGCACCGATTATTCAACCAGTGAAGTTAGGCAAGATCTCAATTTGCAAGATGTCTCTTGTGGTGCAGCACTATGCATTGTGACTGGTACGACGCGCATTCACACATACACACGTTGTGGTTGCATGGCGTTGGGTCGAACGCCGCCAATGAAGAGAGGCAGTTTGCATATCTCACGGACATTCCTATCGAGAATTATAAAGCGCAGCGTTGAACTTCCGAGCTCATAAAGGTCACTTGATATGTAACTCAACGTAGCGGAAGAAACAGAGAAGCATGTTAGACATGGAAGGGTACACTGACTAGGACCCTGCCTGGATTAGCCGGCAGTGCTCACGATGTATGCGCCAGTGCGCGACCTAAACAATAACAACGGTGTGGCGGTCAAGGCCCATGCTGTACCTGGCATTGTCGAGAGCAGTAGAACTCCCGTTTGCAACGCGTGCAACGCTGGTCTGCATCCTTACCGCACTCGGGACACTTGGGTGTCTGAGCTCCTCAATGACTCCAACGACAGCACCAGTCCGTTACCTGTAGTTCACCGCCGCTTTCCTCCATGGCCAAACGCCACTCGTCAGGTATCGACACCATTCTGGAGAGCTTCTTCAATCCTCCTGGACCTTCCTTCTTGTCAGCAGCTTCCAACCCTAACAGCTGATTCTCCGCAACCTCCTTCCATCTGAAGCGGAGCTAATCAAAGGACAGTAGCTTCTGCGACTCACTTTCCTCGATATTTCGATTTCAGTCCTTCGATGATCTCGGCCACAAGCTCGACACTGAAGGCACTAGCGGCCCCCGAGGACATCGACAGACCCCCAAAGGGGTTGCTACTGTCACCAACCCCAGCGACCATGCGCCCTGTGCTTCATATGACCAACGACGTCTACGAGCCCTCGAGGAGCAGTCAAACTCACCTGATATGGCAAGCTCCTCGAGAGCCCTCAACAGCACAGACAGCACCGGCAACTGCTCGAAGACTGTCTCGTTGAGATACTTGCGCAGCCTACATTGAAAGACATAGGGACATGCCCCGTAACGATGGGAGTAACCTCAGCAGATTGTCCACGCGACACTGCGAGTCTAGGGAGTACTGTTGCCGACAGACCGGATCCATAAGGAGCTGGTAGATAGCCAGCCACACTTGACCCTAAGAGTAGCCATGACTCACAAAAGGACAGGAGCAACCCACCTGGGCCTTGGGCATTTTCACTGACCCAGTCGCATCCCCACTCATGGGCTTCCAATTGTTGTCCTCGAATTTCTCCACCCGCCCATCAGAGGTCTTCCTTATCCACGGGGCTGCCTGTGCCACTACGCTCCATATGGTCGAGCCAAGGTATAAATGGTACCTCTAGTATAGGGACCAAGGTCATGAGGATATCATGCGTCTCTAGAAGCCTGGTAGTAAGCGTTAAGGGACAGTGAGCACGGTGCTCGCATAGGAAGCGGATGATTGACAGAGTGCACATGCATACCTGAAACAACAGGGCAGTGTGGGGAAATATGCACATGGTCAACAACGGGAAGGAAGCTACACGTGTCGGTGACAACATGAAAATTCTGAGGAAATTTTGTGAAATTCTGGTTGGTTTTCTTGTACTCTTCCACCCAAATTCGTATTTAAGCTCCTAAATTGGTGAGGAAACTGCCGAAATCACTCAGGTAAAGCAAGCATATATTTCAACACTGTAACAGAGGCGCGCTTTCACCGCTCTAGCACCCACCTGGAACTCTATCTCATCGTATTGGCCATCCAAAACGTCCTGATCGGTCTGGACGATAAGGCGTTGACGGCGATCTTCCGAGCTCTCTTCGGCCAACTGCACAGACCTACGCGAGCCGTCACGAACATCCGACCGCACGTCCTACTGTTTGATCCGCTTCGCATGGAGCTCAAGGAGCCCTGCTAGCTTCGAGGAGCAGTAGTCCACCTGGTCACAATGAGCAACCAACCTCTGTGGTCCGTGACGATTACAAGGTCCACAGTAGCATCTCCAGCAGCCTCGACTCCATCTTGATGGAATAGGAAGACCTGACTGTGATGGTGACAGGACCAGAGCTTCTCACTGCTGACCTCGAGCAGATTGATGACTGTAGCCTCGTGATACAATGGAACGTAATTACGCAATGATGACAGCTTGGCTAGCCTCGACGATATCAGAGGATACGCTCGAGTCTTCCAGGTCCATATCAGAATAAGCTCACCTAGGTGATGACCAGGCCTGTCCTCCATTTTTCGAGCATACCGATAAGATCTTTGATCCGATCTTCCCGGACGAATATGTCTTTGATGAACTCATCAGTGCCGTCTACTGCTTGAGCATGAGCCTCCTTATTGAGCCTCTCTAACACCGCATGATTCTCCAACCACTCACTGCTTCCTATGCTCTCCAAGGCCCACGGTGACGGGCCTGAAAACGATGCCCTCAATGCCACATGATGGAACAGCTCGAATACCAAGTCGGAGATGAGTTATCAAGTGTTCCGCTTCGCATTGCGACAGAGGAAATTGACTTTCATCGACCAAGGCCGATTCAGAGGCGAAGTCACCAACTTCAGTGATCATTAGCAAGACAGAAGCAAGATGGGTTCCCTACAAGGAGCTCAGTAGAGACTACGAGTGCTCATACATAGCAGCTCAGGCGGCAGTACTATAGCCGGTGATTGAGCAAAGGATATTCCCCCATACTCCTTCCTTATCCTCGACTACGATCACCCAATCGAGCAAGGATAGGTCCCGACTTCCTTTGCTATGGAAAGCCGCATCAAACATTCACAACTGATCTCATGCTTTGACCCTATGGCCGCCGATCACCTCTGTCGTCGTCCGTGACAATGACTCAGAACGCAAAAGAGTTGAGTAGCTCAATGGAAGTATTTGTGACAAGAAACCCAGACTGATACCAGTCTAGTCACACGACATCCTTGGCGGGCCAAGTTGGCCCTACGACTAGTCCCAGTCTGGCAGAAAGACACTTCAAAGCTCATTGGGTTCTTGAAGTGCATAATTTATTACAGAAAAAGGGAGCACTCATACGTAGAGCGCTTCAGGAGACAAGTAACAGTTATCAGAAGGACTTGTCCAAGACGACAAGTCACAGCCTAATAACCTAAGATTAGCAAGTCAAAAGATGCACACCTGATTCGAATGGATAACTACCGTAGCAAGACGACAACCAGGTGGCAAAAGAACAACAAGGAGCTCCACATCTCCTCATCGGAACAGTGTATATCATCAACACTAAGCTGTGATGTTAGTGGGCTTATTTTGGGGCTCATTCTCTGAGGCATGGGACGCTTCCTCATCGATAAAGCTTTTCTCGGGGAGTTGCTTCTCCTCGTACTTGATTTGACGCCGTCTCTCCCATCCGAGCCACCCAATGATTAGAGCTGCTATGAAGAATATGATAGCAATAGCAATAAGACCACCCATAAGGCCATCGAACATACCCGGAGCTGATTGCATCACTTTGACAGTATCAAGCTGGAAGGGGAACGCCTCTTGGTGCTTGTTGA